GAAAGAGCACCACCCAGTGATCATGACCTTTCTCTATTTCCCTATTCTACTGAGATTTGGGGCATATGTGCACATGTGCCCAGTGTGTTTTTCAAGCCACTAGGGCCAGGATTGGAACTGTAGGTGACTATGTGGGATCTGACTCCCTTAACTACTGGACTGTGGGACTGGGTTGGCCCAGACTTTGATTTTTTTGTTTTGTTTTGGTTTTTGGTTTTTTTAAGATGTGTTTTGGTTTTTTTTGTTTTGTTTTAGTTTTTTGCTATATTGTACATGTGCTTGTCAGAGAGAGATGGGAGAAGTGAGAAATTACCTGCCGGGGGGGCGGATGGCCACATCATAATCCCTTCTCCTCCGTTCTCCTCTTAGGATTTTGGGCATGCACACACACACATGCCTGTGCGTTTTTCAAGCTGCTGGGTCCAGGCCTTGAACTATACTGTCAGCCATGTGGGATTCAGTGCCTTAACCACCAGGCCATGAAGGTGGCCCTATTATTTTGTTTGTTTCTTCTATGATTGAGACAGTATCCCCAACTGGGTCTTGACGTCATGATCCACTCCCTGAGGGGATGGCCATGCTGCAATCCGTTCTCCTCCATTCTCCTTTTGGACATGCACGCACACATGTCTGGTGTGAGTTTAAGCCGTGGGGTCCAGGACTCTCAACTAGTCCTGGATCACAGATACATGCATGCTTGGTATACTCAGGGAGGTCTCTAGACTTCCCATGTAGGTCAGCCTCCAGTCAGACCTTACCAGTGTATCACCATCTGACCCTGAGTACGTATTTTAATTTGTTTTGGAACAACTTCAAATGTTAGAAAAGTTATCAAATCAGTGCAAGGAGTTCCCATGTCCCCTTCACCCAGATTCCCAAATAGTTAACATTTTATTGCATTTGTTCCATTGCTCACTCTGTGTAAATATTTGTGTATGAATGCATGTATCCCTTGTTAGTAGACTTTAAAAAAAAAATTATTTTTTCACATGAGTTTTGCCAGAGAAAGAGGGAGGGAGAGTGAGAAAGCAAGCCGCCAGGTCTGGGACTCCACTGTGATTGGCCGTGTGGGAATTCTAGCACTTTAACCACCACACCTGCTGGCCCCAGTAGCCTTTTTTTTTTTTTTTTTTAATTTGCTGTAAGGCATGAGAGAGTGAGTAGAAAGCAAGCTGCCAGGTCCAGGACTGGAACTATGGTCAGCCATGTGGGAATCCAGTGCCTTAACCACCACACTACCTGCTACCCCCATTTCATACCTTTTGAAGGTTGAAAGAATAAACTGTAGCCATATCTCATTACTCCTAATCTTCCAGTATCCAAAACAGAGATGCTGTCCAACATCCTTCCACATCAGTTTTAGCATATGTGTTGCCAGAGTGAGCACAGCACATCAGTAAATAAGTATCAGTATACCCTACCGATTTGGGGCATATGTGCACATGTGTCCATGTGTTTTTCAAGCCATTAGGGCCACAATTGGAACTACAGGTGACTATTGGACGGTATACCCTACCATCCAATTCCGAGTCAGTTCACATTTTGCCCACCGTCTCAATAGCGTCTTCTTTTTTGGCCCATAATGCTATATAGGAATTTATATTGCATTTAGTGGTCATGTATCTTTAGACTCATTTCACCTAGAAGTTCCCAGTCTTTCATGTCTGTTTTAGAGCTTATGGGCCTTACATTCTATAGGATGGGCCACAACTAGGATCTCTTTGGTGGTCAGACTACCATAAAAAGGACGTTTTACTTTTCTCAGTGCATCACAATGGGAGGTACACAACGTAGACTTCTCCCAACACTGGTTGTTAACCTTGATCACCTGATCATGATGTTTACTTCAATTCAGTTTTCCCCTTTGTAATCATTCACCAGAGAGACAGAGCGGAAGAGGAGAAAGCACATAGGAATGGTCACGCAGCAATCCCTTCTCCACTTTCCACTTCCTCCATACTGTCAGAATCTTGAGTGTACTCATAAGTATCCAGTAAGTTTCCCAAGCCACATGGTGTTGAGAATTTGAACCATTCAGTAGGCCATGTGGGATTGGGCTGCCTTAGCCACCAGGCCATGGAGCCAGCCCCAGGTTCACTTTTTTAAGTTTCACTATGGAGGGGCCGACAGGTGTCATGGTGATTGGGGCGCTAGATTCCCACATGGCAAATTGCTCAAGTCCTGGACCTGAAAGCTTTCTATCTCTCTAGTCAAATTGAAGAATGATGATAAAAGTTTTTGTTTTTGTTTTTAGAGGTTTTTGCTATAGGGTGCATGAGTTCACCAGAAAGACAGAGACAGAAAGCGAGAAATCACCATCTGGGGGGATGGCTATGCTGCAATCCCTTCTCCATTTTCCTCTAGGGATCTTGGGCATGCACATGCTCCCGGCGTGAGTTTAAGCCATGTTGTCCAGGACTCGAACAGTGGTCGACTACAAGTGGTCGACTACATGGGAGTCTAGCTACATAGCCATTATGCCAACTGCTGGTCCCCAAATCAATTTTTTAAAAAAAATTATATTTATTTGAATGTGACCGGAAAGAGAGGAGGGGGGGGGGTCGCTGAGAAAGTGAGCCACCAAGTCAGGACACTCGATCTGTCGTTGGCTGTATGGGAGTCCAGCGCCCTTCACCACGCCACCCGCAGGCTCCCAAATCTATTTTTTTAAAAAAGTTGTACTATAGGGTGTATGCAACCCCTTTCCTCCATTACCACGCCTAAATCCCTTTTCCAGTCTCAGGATTTGGGGCACACGTGCACTTAGCCAAACCGCTGGAACTAGAACTATTTGGTTATGTGGGATTCTTCTGCCATAACCTCTGCGCCACCTGCTGGCATTTAAGAAAAAAATTTTAAGGTTTCTATCTTCCATGAGAGACGTTTCTCACCAGTGATCCAGCCCCAAGTCTCAGCTGGAATCAGGGGCCCTTAGGTGTGTCAAGTGTGTAAAAGGAGGCCCCAGGACACCGAACCAGCACCTGCCCATTTGGGTCTAGGTGGAGTAGCGTTGTGCCACCGTCTGGCTCTAAATACTGTTTTATCCACATTTCTCATGCAGAAAGATTTAAATGATCTATTTTCAAATCTGTTCAATAAAGGCTTTTTTCCTTTACATAAACTTGCTTTTGTTTTTTCTCCTCATACCTACGAAAAAAATGTTGACATAAAACGTCGAAAAGACAAAACAGAGAAGTGGGAAATTGCACATAACCCAAACTTCCGCCAAAGTAACATTCAGGGAAACAGCAGCGACCCGAAAAGGGTGGGCGCTGCCGCTCTGGCCCATCCGGAGCGCAGGCGCAGAAGCCCGGCCAGCAGCCAGCAACCAGCTCCCTGCTTCCTGCTCCTTGCAGCCTCCCCGCCAACGCTCTCGCGAGTCTTAGAATAAAGTTGTGGTCATGGCAGGAAGTTCTCGTGAGAGGTAACTGGTTGCTATAGTTGCAGAAAGCAAAACTGCGGTTGCCGCTGGTAGGTAAGATAACTATAACTCCTCAGAGAACCCTCTTCTCGGCCTCACCACCCCGAGCCTACGGCCACACTACCCTGAGACTCCAGACCAAAAGGCCGCCCACCCTGCTAGGCACGGACCTTCCCGCCGTCCCCAGGTCCCCAGGTCCCCTCCCAAAGGTGGACTGACACTCACCAGCTTTGGATGAGATCCCCTCCACCAGTCAGCACAGTAGCTCCCCAGTTCGTAGACCAGTTCAAGAGCAGACAAACGCTCTGACGGAGTAGCTTCCAGGACCAGGAGGGATTTGAGCTGGATATTGAAGGATAAGTAGGGTTGGCCGAAGTAGAGATGGAGTGGGAGAGAAGGGAGAGAACTGCACAGGAAGAAATCATGGACAAGTTCAAATGTGACTAGGTGCAGATAATCTTTGAAAAATACTAACCCAGAACATATTTGTCCCTAGTATAAAATAATTAGAAAATGTATCTGAGTAAATAAAACAGGAGCTTTTCCAATGGACTACCACCCTGTGTGACTATGTAGGATAGATATAGATAATATTTTTATGTATTATATATATGTATATAATTTTATTGTGACTCATTGTCTCAAAATAGCTTTTTTAAAAATAGAAATGAATCTTTGAGGGGAACTTTTAAGATTAAAAACAAGTTACCAAAAACACTGAAGGATATGAGAGTGGGAAGTGAGGGAATGGCATTTCTAGTCTGTCATGGGGTGATTTGTCCTTAATAGGATAGTTACATGTGTAAGAATCTTTTTAACATGAATCAGTATGATCATCCTTGTGACCAGCTCCTTAATGCATTGACTATCCCGCAGTAAAGGTTGGCAAGGAGTATAAAACAATGCTGGACTAGTATTTAAGTTTCACCCTGCTGTTGGTTACCATGTGCTGTGGGTACTTGTGCAGCTCTGGTACATGAGGGGACAGATCTGTTGATTCTATTTACAGAAACTAGAGAGACCAGAGGGACTTTGCCTAACTACTGATATGGACCAGGTGCCATCAACGGGCAGACTTGTGCAGATCACTGTGACAGATGGATATGATTTGGTAAAGTTTATTTTTGGAAATCCACAGAGTCTCTAATTTGGGAGCACCAGTGGGAGGAATGGAATTTTGCATCATTCTCTACCCCCAAACCTCCTGGCTCTACATAGCGTTGGCCTTCCTCCTCAGTATTTTTTGTTGTTAGTCTGTAATCAGTAAGTCACATTATCGTGTGTCTAAAATACCTGGCAATTTGAATACCTAACTTAAAGGGGGTGAGACAAGAAGTGGTTTTAATTTTCCTAGATATTGGTTCATATATAATTTTCTTTTAAAAAATTTTTGCTAGAAGGCATGTACACTTGCTGAAGAGAGAAAGAGGGGAAGTGAGAAAGCACCCCACCATGGGATATGATCATGCTGTAATTCCTTCTCTTCTATTGCTCTCTCCTTTTGGGATTTTGGGCATACATGCACATGAGCCTGACATGTTTTTCAAGCCACGGGGTCCAGGACATGAACTACACAGACAGCCATGTGGGATCCAGCATCCTTAACCTCCACATCCATGTTGGCCCTGTAATTTCTTTTTTCCCATTCTCTTGAGAAGGTTCTGAATTCTTCCAGTTTCCCATGTGATTAATTCCATTTGATAAATTTAAATAATGAAACTACAGTGTAATATAACCATTAAGAATTGTGAGAGGCGCCGGGCGCATGTGCGTGCGTGCCCAAGATCCCGAGAGGAGAATGGAGGAGAAGGGATTGCGGCGTGACCATCCCTCCTGGGGGGTGATTTCTTGCTTTCTGTCTCTCTGTCTCTCTCTGTCTTTCTTGTGAGCACACATGCCCTATAGCAAAAACCTCTCCGAAAAAAAGAAAAGAAAGAATTGTGAGAATAAGGGGCCAGCAGGTGGCATGATGGTTAAAGGTGCTGGACGCCCACATGGCCGACTGCGGTTTAGGTCCTGGACCTGATGGCTTGCTTTCTTACTTCTCCTCCCTATCTCTGTCTCTCTCTGATCAAACTGGAAAATAATAATGATAACAATAAATTTTTTAAAGTTAAAATAATTCTTAAAAAATTTTGCGAGTATAATGAAATGGGAAAATATTCAGTGTTATAAAGTTTAAAAAAACTTACGATGTGATTACCACATCTCCACTTTGTTTTAAAGTGAATATATATTAAAAAAAGTATATACAGATGTGGGGGTGTGGTGTGTGTATATATGTCTATACATGTGTATATATTCAGAATAAAACCCTAGAAAATATGTTAAAAATGTTAATAGTGCTTACATATTAGAGCAAGAGCACAAGTCATTCATTTTCCTATGTGATTTTGTCTTTTCCAAGAATTTTTTTTATAATCAGATAAAACACAATAAATGTCATTTTTCAAAACTCCGACATAATGTCATTTAATGGAATGTTGCATTTAGCTACAACTAGATTTGTTTAATGATTTTCTATCTACTCTTTTTGTATTTGTGTTGTAACTTGTTAGGAAAAAATAGCAATTATAAAAAATAGAAAAATAGTCAAAATGGGTTACCAAATGTGTAGGAAATTTTTTGAGTATAATTGTAAAGTGATCTGTTTCTGCCAACAGAAAGGGTTTAAAGGAGAAACTCCAGTTACCTTTATTCGTGCAGAATTCAATCACGTGGTTCTGGGAGACTCTGCAAAAATTACTGTTTCTCCAGAAGGAACTGCAAAATACAACTTCACATGCAGTTTTGAGTTCAATCCTGAAGGAGGAATCACTTTATATGACCTCGCCCACAAACCTGTGTTCTGTAAGTCCTTGTGGTTCTAAAAATGTAATGAGGAGCATTTTTATTGGGACAATTGAAGACACCTTAACTTCTTATTCTAGTATTAATGTAGTGTACTTTTATTTATTTTTTAGAGAGTTTTGCTATAGGGCACACAACAAGCTCACCAGAGAGACAGAAAGCGAGAAATCACCCCCTGGGGGGATGGCCACACTGCAATCCCTTCTCCTCCATTCTCCTCTCAGGATTTTGAATACACATGCACATACGCCCAATGTAATTTTTAAGCCACCAAGTCCAGGACTTAAGCCGCAGTTAACTCTGTGGGAGTCCAGCAACGTAACCATTATGCCATCCACTTGTCCCAGTGTAGTGTGCTTTGGACCCTACATTCTGACAGTAGTCACCATGACCTACTAATTTCTTTTTTATTTAGGAATTATTTTATTCAACTTTATTTCAATTTGACCAGTGAGGGACAGAGAAAAAGAGAGGGAAAGTGAGAAAGCAAGCCACCAGGTCTGGGACTTGAACCACGGTAGACCATGTAGGAGTCCAGCACCCTTAACCACCATACCACCTGCCGGCCCCCATGACCTACTAATTTTTTTTTTTGGGGGGGGAGAGGTTTTTTTTGCTATAGGGCGCGTACACGCACCAGACAGACAGAGAGACGCAGAGAGACAGAAAGTGAGAAATCACCCCCCGGGGGGATGACCACGCCGCAATCCCTTCTCCTCCATTCTCCTCTTGGGATCTTAGGCATGCTGTGGTTGTTGGGGCACTGGACTCCCACACAGCTGACTGTGGTTCAAGTTCCAGACCTGGCAGCTTCCTTTCTCACTTTCCCTCTCTCTCTCGGTTTAAAAAAAAAAAAGTAGTAATAATAAATAAAATAATTATTTTTAAAAAACAAAATATAGACCAATATCATAAGTATAGACACAAAAGTCCTTAACAAAATATTAGCAAATAGAATTCAGCAATATATAGGACTAGCCCCATAGCCTACTGATTAGGAGAGCTGGATCCCATATGGCTGACTGCAGTTTGAATTCCAGCTTCAGGGCTTTAAAAACATGCCAGGTGTATGTGCATGTATATGCCCCAAATCCCGACAAAATGGAGAAATGAATGAGAAAGAAGCGTGACCACGTCCCACTGGGGGATGTCTTCTCTTTTTCTCTCTCTGACTCTGGTCGCCATACAGGTCTTCTGGTCATTAAAAAAGAGAGAATTCAGCACATATAAAAAGAATTACATATCAGGGCCTGGAGTTTATTCTGGATATTCAAGGCTGGTTCAATATTTGAAAATTAATCAACATGGGGATTGGTAGGTGGCATGGTGGTTAAGGTGCTGGATTCCCACATGATGGACCACAGTTCAAGTCCCAGACCTGGTGGCTTGAAATTCACACCAGGCTGTTTGTGTGCGTGTGCCTAAAACCCCAGGAGAGAATGGAGGAGAAGGGATTCTGGCATGACCAGACCCTCTAGGGGATGATTTTTCATTTTTCCTCTTTCTCTATCATCTCTTTCTGTCTTTCTTCAACCAGTGCACATGCCCTCTGGCAAAACCCTTTAAAAAAAAAATTCACCACATTCACAGACCAAAGAAGAAAAGCAGCATGATTATATCAATCAACAAAGTAAACAACTGATAAAATTTAATACCATTTCATAATAAAAATTGTCAGAAAAATATAACTAAAGGAAATTTCTTCAACCTAATAAAGGCTATCATACTTAATGGTGGAAGCCTGAATGTTTTCCCCCTAAGATTGGGAACAAGTTAAAGATGTCTATATTAACACTCTTATTTACATAGAACTGGAAGTTCTTTTTTTTTTTTTTAAAGAATTATTTATTTAACTTTATTTATTCATTCATTTATTTTAATTTGATCAGAGAAAGGCAGACACAAAGAGAAAAGCAAAGTGAAAAAGCAAGCCACCAGGTCCAGGACCTGAACCTTGGTCGACCATGTGGGAATATCCAAAACCTTAACCACCATGCCACCTGCTGGCCTGAACTAGAAGTTCTTGACAGTGCAGTAAGATAAGAAAGGAAATAAAAGGCATACAAACTTGAAGAAATAACACTGTCCTGGGACCAGCCGTTGGTGTAATGGCTATGTCACTGGACCCTCACGTAGTCTACCGCAGTTCGAGTCCTGGACCAGTGGCTTAAAATTCATGCTGGGCACGTGTGCATGCATGCCCAAAATCCCAGGAGGAGAGGAGAATGGAGGAGAAATGATTGCATCATTGCCATTCCCCCTGGGGAGCAATTTCTTGCTTTCTCTCTGGCAAGCTCAGGCACCCTGTAGCAAAAATCTCTCCAAAAAAAAAAAGTAGTAAGGAATCTGTGGTCTGCAGATAGTGTGATAGTTAAGGACGCTGGACTCCTACATAGCCAATTGTGATTCGAATCCCAGACCTTGTGGCTCTGCTTTCTCACTCCCCTCCACACTCTGTCCCTCTCTGGTCAAGTTAAAATAAATAGATAAATAAAGTTAAATAATTTTTTAAAAAATGAGTTAAACAAAAATCACAGGATAAAAGGTAAATGTATATCAATTATATTTCTGTATACTACTAATAAATACGTTGACACCAATATTAAAAATATAATACTGTGGGGCCAGCAGTTAGCATAATGGCTATGTCATTGGACTCCCATGTAGTCGACTGCGGTTCGTGTCCCAGACCCAGTGGCTTGAACTCACTCTGGCGCGTGTGTGTGCGTGCCCAAGATCCCTAGAGGAGAATGGAGGAGAAGGGACTGCTGCGTAGCCATCCCCTCGGGGGGTGATTTCTGGCTTTCTTTCTCTCTCTGTCTCTCTGGCGAGTACATGCGCCCTATACCAAAAACCTCTCCAAAAAATAAAAATAAAAATAAATATACTGTTTACAGATGCTTTTATTTATTATTGTTTTTTAAGAGAGATTTTTGCTGTAGGGCCAATGCACTTGCATAAGAGACAGGGAGAGAGAGACAGAAAATTAGAAATCACCCTTGGGGGGGATGTCCATGCCACAATCCCTTCTCGTCCATTCTCCTCTCTGGATTTTGGGCACGCACACACACACACACACATACACACACACACACACACGCCCAACATGAGCGTTAAGCTGCCAGGTCCGGGACTGAAATGCAGTCAACTACAGTGGGAGTCCAGCGACATAACCAGTATGCCATCTGCTGGTCCCTATTTATTACTTTTTTTAATTGCCAGAAATGTACATTTGTTGGATTCAGAAGGAGAGGGAGAAAGCTCCCTTGATGGGGTATGGTCACATCACAATCCCTTCTCTTCCATTTCCCTATCCTACAATTGCTTTTAAAAATTAAATACTTGGGGGCAGCAGGTGGTGTCGTGGTTAAGGCGCTGGATTCCCACATGGTCAACTGCAGTTTAAGTTTTGGGCCCAGTTGTTTAAAACATATTAGACACATGTACATGTGTGCCCAGAATCCCAAGAGGAGAATGGAAGAGAATGGATTACAGCATGGCCATTCCCCTTGGGAGGGGATTACTCACTTTCCCTCTCTGTGTCTCTCTATAGTGAGTGCATGTGCCCTATGGCAAAAACCTAAAAAACTGGGGACCAGCAGTTAGCATAATGGCTATGTCGCTGGACTCCCACGTAGTTGACCGTGGTTCGTGTCCCGGACCTGGTGGCTTAGAACTCACGCCGGGCGCGTGTGTATGCATGCCCAAGATCCTGAGAGGAGAATGGAGTAGAAGGGATTGCGGCGTGACCATCCCCCCTGGGGGGTGATTTCTCTCTTTCTGTCTCTCTGTCTCTCTCTGTCTGTCTGTCTTCTGGTGAGTGCTTGCGCCCTATAGCAAAAACCTCTCCAAAAAAAAAAAAAAAAACCTAAAAAATTAAATTTAAGAAAATGAAGTACTGGGACCAGCAGGTGGTGTGGTGATTAGGGCGCTGGACACTCCCACATGGCCAACCATGTTTCCAGTCCTGGACCTGGTGGCTTGCTTTCTTATTTTCTGTGTGTGTGTGTGTGTGTGAGTGTGTGTGTGTGTCTGGTCCAATTACAATAAATGAATGAATAAATAAAGTTAAATAAAATAAATCTTTAAAAGAAAAAGAAAATGAAATACTTAGTACTTGCCTAGTGGTTAATGAAGTAAATTCCACATGACTGATCTGGTCCTGGTGGCTTGAAAATCACACCAGGTGCATATTCATGTGTGTGCAAAATCCCAACAGATTGGAGAAATGGAGGAGAAGGCATTGTGGTGTGACCATTCCCCATCAGAGCGTCTTTCTCCCTCTCCCTGTCTCTGGTGAGCATATATGCCCTCTGGTAATTTTAAAAGTAGTAATAATAATAAACAGTAAAAATGAAATACTTAGTGTACTAACAAAATCTGTATGAGGGGTTTGACAGTGGTGGCAGTAAAATGCAATCCCATGTGGGAAGTTTCTAAATTCATGTCCAGAGACCTCCCTGAGTATACCAGGCACACACATGCCCACCATCCAGGGCTAGCAAAAGCTGGGGGCGAATCATGGCATCAGGTTCCTTTTGGGAGTGATTTCTCTCTCTTTCTTTCTCTTTCTCTCATTGTCAGATAAATAAATAAAAACTTTTAAACACTCCAAAACATACATAGGATTTAAGTGCTGAAAACTACACACTGGTAATGAATGATATCAAAATATCTATAAATAAAGAGATATACAGTGTCATGGAAGATTCCACGTAATTAACACGTCAGTTCTCCCCAGATTGATGAACAGGTTGAATGTAATTCCTATCAAAATTTCCACAAGATTTTTTTTGTAGATGCAGACAAGACTATCCTAAAATTTAAAAAAAATTTAACTTAATTTTATTTATACATTCACTTTAATTTGATGAGAGAGAGAAAGTGAGAAAGCAAGCGACCATGTCTGGGACTCAAACTGTGGTCAACCATGTGGGAGTGTCCAGTGCCTTAATCACCATGCCACCTGCTGGACCCCAGCTATTCTAAAATTTATATGA